CAAGAATCTGAATTTTTTTGTTTGTTTGTTTTCTGGGTACCTAACTTCTGAGCACCATTGCTTTAGTAATTTCTAATATTTGGGCATACTTTTTTGGTCTTTAGTAATACTGGAATCATCTAAAATTCTTAATCTTTCATGTAGTCATGACATAACTATGGAAAACTGTTCTTTATTTGTTATCCATTATATAATTGATAGTTCTAACATTTATAAATGATTAAATAGACTAAAAACAGAAGCTTAAAAATGCTCTTGTAGTTTTTGAGTTCATTTTCTATTAATTATAGCAATTACTTCTTTGAATATTCAGAAATTGTCTGAATTTAGTTCATAAAATAATATGTCCCATCGTTTAAAATAATTTCTATATTACTTCACAAATTCTTAACATTTTACAAAGGTGTACACTTTGCAAAATTCATTCAGTTAATCTAATGAGCATCTTAAATAAATAATATAGTCAATGACTCTGTTTAAATAATAAAGATTTAAATGTGTAAAGAATCACTCTTGTGTCTATGGCTAGGACAGGTGTGCTTACATTTAATTCCTGGAGCAGGTGTATTGAACTTGGATGACTAATATTAAAGAAGAAAAGCCTGATAATATGTCACAGAAGATAATTTACATTCTAGCTCCTGAGTGAAAAGTGAGATCACAAGTACACAGCAAGATAAAATTGATAATATACATGGTTCATCTAAGCATTCTTCCTTTGGCCACCAAGATCTTTCTGCCAATGTAAATTGCATTTTTAAATTCAGCAAGAGGCCTAAGATACAACTTTGGGTAGCTAACATTGTATTAATTTCTTCTCTGTTGTTTCAAACTTGTCAGTGTTTCCAATCTCACACCTGTATAGATGCTCTGTTAAGTGTCATTTTCTGGTAAATTCAAAGCTTCTAGAAGTCAGCATTGCAATTTAAATGTGTAGGACTATGACACACATTGATTTCTGCTTGAAATTTATACTAGGAATTTTCCCTTTCTAATAGTTTTCAAATCACAGTATTAAGGACTTACCATATTTCTTTGCAAAATAATCTAATTAAATTCTAAATTCAAGGGCTATAAATCCTTTTGGTTTCTATATTGTATTTAAGACATTGAGTTCAAATTATATTTAGTTAGTACACATGATTGTACTGACTTTCCCTACCAAAGTTTTGTATATACACACTATTTATTATGAATACTTAAGACTGCCAATTTAATATCAAAATGAATGTAGACTAAGAGAACGTATGTGAACTCATGAATTATCACATCTTTTACTTGCCTTCAGCTATCTCTAACCTGAAAGAGTTAAGATGAAGTTTTAATCAATTATAATTAAATTAGATTAACTATAAACTTGTAAATGGTGATTAAATAAAGCAATTAGGGCAATTAAAATAATAGGTCAAAAATGTCAGCTTAAAATAAAAAATGTGATGATTAATATTTCCTGCTAGTGCTTAGAGAATTTAAAATGTTAAAACTGTATTGTTTTTCTTATACCATGTGCTTACCAGCATATTTTCATCTCCTTCCAGGTTAACATTTGAAGAGTAATGTAAACACTGTATGGTGGTTCCATTTCTGCTTGTGAGTCATGTGATCGATGTTATTCATTCCTACATAACTCTCTCTCTTATTGTTGAGGAACAGTTGTCTATGCTTATTCATTACCAGGCCAAGTATAGATGGATTGTTTATGGACATAAGGTAAATGAAAATGTTTATGGAGGGTAGATCATACCTATTCTGTACCCATTCACAACTGCAGTCTCCCCCAGCAGAGCTTTATAGCAAAGAAAAATGGATCAAGGTCCATTGAGTAAATTACTAGTATACTGACCTTCTCATGTCAATTTTTAATTGATTTTTATTATTTCCTGGGAATGGTTTATTGTTTGGAATAATGTTTATATTTTATGATGATTTAACTTATCCAAAAATAATTAAGAATAGGTATTTAGATATATTTCCTCAGTATACATAGTAATAAATGAGCTCCAATTAGATTTTAAAGATATCAAAATGATCAAAGTAGACATTACTTTACACACAATAAATGTTGTTTTATAGAAATGAAAAATATTTAAATATATGGAATACTTACCCAATTTTCTGAATTAGAATTTGTTAAGATACTGATTATCACAATAAAATATTTGGTCCCTTTCCTTCACACTTCCGTGCATGCATATGTGTTTATGTATATAATATTTTAGTATCATTTTTGATATTATATTTACTCAAAATATAGCTATATTAATAAGTTATGGCTTTATGAAATAGTTCAGGATTTAGAAGTCAAGTATGGTCAAATAAACCGTTTATTCAGGTAGACCAGAGAATGAAAAAAGAGGATTGCTATGAGTATGAGACAACTCTAGGCTACAGGACAGGACCCTTCCAGCAAAATAAAAAGAACACCAACACATCAAATTCACATTAAGTCATATCAATGTAAGTGAATTTGGAGGATGAGGTACATGTTGATTCTTGAGGTACTTCTGACTGCTTAAAATACAATGATAAATATAAACTACTAAATAATAAATATGAATTTAAATAAAGTTTGGAAAATCCTTAAATCTATGTAATAATTCATCTTTGCAGTCAACTGATGCAATTTCTTAGCTCTCAGGCATTATGCTAGATATAGCATTAAATTTTAGAATATAAAAGAAAGATAAAATAATAAAATTTTACCTCATTGATGTGTAATCTTGAATATTATAAAACTTCTAACAGTAATTAAGGACATTGTCCATCTAGTTTCAGCAAGTTCAAGAACTACCACAGAAACAAATAAATATGTGAGATATGCAAATAATTTCAAGAGAGTAATCAAAATACAACCATTATTTTTTTCTCAAACTATCACTAGTAAAAGCTTCCTTTTGAAAAAAGTTAATTAAATCATTATTTTGTGATATGTGTGAAAATCGCAAGTTTTGGGACCACTGTCCCCTGTAGTAACGATTTTATTTTCTCACAGATTTCAGGTGATTTTTTAACAAATTATTTTCTCAGCACTTTGCAGATTTAGCATCTATATAATTCTAATATTACAATCAGATTTAACTGAACTAGGTAAGTGTGAAGTTTGTTTTAATTTGAAAAACTTTCCAGTACATGTAAGAGTTATCATTGTGATTTTACTCTGTTGTAAAATTAGATGCATATTCCTGTGAATATAGTAAGAAGTGTAGTAGCCTTCTAGTCATGGGACAGCATTAAAATAAGTTATTCAACATAAGGTCTGTGTGCAGATAATCAAATTTATTGAATTACTCACAATATGAAGCTGAAGGCCTCATTCATATACCCATTTCTAGTGATGGACTGCAAGTTACAAAATCCTACATAGCTTCTACTCACTTAATCAACATAATGTTCTTTCCTGAATTTTGCTTTGCAAAAGGTGAACTTTTATAAGACAATTCATACATGGTGTTAGCTTTATGTTTACTCAGAACCCAACAATGATTTAATTTTAAAAAAGAAAGAAAAATAAATCCATTCTTACTTTTATGCACAATAAACTGGTATTAATCTAGGAAAAATAAGTAGAAATATTATTGTTTTAAAACATCATCTTATTCTGAGACCTCAATCTTGATTTTAAACACATACAATTATTTAAAATTTCCCCCTTACCTTTGACACGTCAAAGCCATAGAGTAATTACACATCATTCAATAATTTGGGACACAATGGGCAGAAAATGTATGGAACCATATTTTAAAAATGTATTTAAAAACTCAATCTTTCAATCAATGTGTTACACAAAAAGAGGCTGGGAAACAGGCAGGTCCTTGAAAAGTTTTTAAAGCATATAGAACTCATGGTTCTGGAAAATAATTCCTGCATCAAAGGAAAATCTCAAGTCTCACAGAAGTCTTATTGAAATGCAAATATTTTATTGTACCAGTTTTCTATTCTCTAGTGGTTCAGAATAAAAATTTGTACATCCTTGTTGCTATGTTCCTATTTGATATGTGGAGGGAAATTAGGCTCAGTTGCTGTGTAGTTATTTCTCCATGTACATGATTCATCTCCTTCCTGTAGTCCAATCAGAAGAATAGCCAGCATGTCCTGATGAGCTTAATAACATGAGGCCATAAGATGAACCTGAATAGATTGGAGTCTGGAGCTCCAAAATAAACACAATAGTATGTGTCAAATAAAACTATATTCTCCTGTACAAATCAGAAGAGATAATAAAAATTAATGAATAGACAGCAACCATGTTTTAAATAACACCTATACCAGCATTTCAAAACTAACTACTTGAAACTTGGGGAATTATTTGCCATTCCATTATTGGAAACACTTCCTATAATTATTGGCAAAACAGTGATTTATTTTGCCTTAAATTACACTTTATTGGTGCTTATTGAAAGTTTCACTTGGGGAATATATTATTAAGATTTATATATTTATAAATAAAATATTTCTGTGCACTAACAGCAATAAAATCACATTGAATTCTGTCATAAAACAAGCCTAAAAGCTTCAGTAGAAATAAAATTCTTTCAAATTTGTATAAGCAAGAAGTTCTGGTATTTTTCAAGGGTACACCATGCTCTATTCTTCTCAGAGAGGGTACCATGAATGTTTGTGCAGGGAATCCTTGACTCAGTGACAATACAGGACATGTCTTTATCAGGCAGGTTAGGTGCCTTTGCAAGTATATGAGAGTTGCTATCTATTCACAAACCACTAGGTAATTTCTTTTTATCAAAATAAATAAATAAATAGATAGATAAATAAATAAATAAACTTCAAAAGTTCAGACTCTGTGTGAATTCCCTTGGGTAATCTAGAGAATGTTTTTTACCAAGGCAGAAAACTTAACACAGTTAAAAGTGGAGACATATTTACAATCTCTTTTGTCCCATAAGTGAAGTTCTTGTTTACTGTATGGAATACTTCCCCATTCTCCTTCTTTTTTAATATTGTCATTCTTTTCTTTTATCTTGTTTTTCTCTTTTGCTGCTGCCATTTTATTCAGTACATTTCAAATGGACTGTCCAAGGCTATGAGTACAAGGTCTCTTGGCTATTTCCATACATGTCGGCCAGTCGTTTAAAGCGCGGACCCCAGTCACTTAGGTAGTCATAATTCTGATCAGAGTTTGAGCTGATGGAATCTAAAGAACTGAGAGATTCAGCAACTGAACCATTTCCTTCAAATGCATAGGTCTGCAGTGAGTCATATGGCGGAGCCCCTGGGTCCACATCAGCTTCTTTCAGTCTTTCCCAAATAAATTCCCTAAAAATGACATTATCTGGGATGCTTTTAAAAGTAGGTCTACTCAAGAACTGAATTTCAGGAGTCACATCTCTGCGGGTTTTGGTGTCTCGTATGACGTTGAGGTTTCTCAGTGCAGCCATGTCAAAGGCTTCAGTATCTTCTTCTCCCCCGCCTTCATCATCGTATCTGACAATATTTTCTCTAATGTCCCTCTCCTCATCAAAGATGAGAGGCTCTTTTTTTCGTCTTCTCATAGTGACAATGAGGAGGATCAGCACTGAAAGGTGAGATGCCAAAGAGAGATAATGTAAGCAAGTGGAGAAATGCACACAATGGTGCCAAGACTCACATTCTATCCTAGTAAAGGAGTTGGCTTCCTGTGTCACATTCAGCAAATGTGCTAAGTAAGCGATTACTGGAAAAACGAAATGCTTTTATACATCAAAAAATTCTATTTCAAACCTGTTCACGATTGATGTCTACTTTAACCTCCAAAATATTTTATAGAACAAATTGAAGGGCCAAATCAGAATAAATAGAATACTTTCAAAGCCACACAACAGAAAAGGAGCCTTTGAACTGCTTAATTGCTGGAAAGGAAAAATGTCCTTTTAAATGTTTTGTATCTAATGTAACAAGTGCAATGCCAAACCGAAATGGATAAGAAAATTTGATCAGGTTCTTTGAAGAAAGGTCTGATTCTTGTTATGAAATTCAGCTGTTTAATGATACCCAGCTTGCCTTGCCATGTAGTAAGATTAAAAGCTCCTATAATAAAGTGCGTCTCACTTTTAAGTGTTATTGACCCTGGACTCTGTATTAAACCCAAAGACAGAAAGCAGGCTGTGAGGCCTTCAGCAATGGCCAAAGATTTAAGAAACAAATTACTTTAATGTTAGGGATTTTTCTTCCTCATAAAATTACATAGTAAATGTTGATATGAGCAGTTTTTTTTGGAAAGCAAAAAAGAGAAACATGAAAGCCCGTAGTATAACATAGATTAAATAAATTCTGCATTTTTAATACAAACTTTTTGAAACTTCACTTAATACAGTACCCCAAGGCTTCAAGACTTGTAATAAAATGGGATAAAATAACTGTTTTAAAAGTTTGTGATTCACAATTATTTAAAACAACAGAAAAGTATAAATGGTATATTTTAGGAAAATATTTATTTTTATTTTGTGCATTTGGATATTTTTTTCTGTGCAAACTTATATGCCTTGTATGTGTCTGTTGCTTGTCCTCACCAAGCAAATTTAAATTTCACTGGAATTAGAGTTACAGAGTGCAGAGAAAGACCATGTGTTCCATGGAAATTAAGCCCTTGTCCATTGGAAGTCAACTATTGATTTTAACCACTGAGCCATGTCTCTAGCCAAAAAAGGATGATTATTTTTATCTGATAAATATAAAATTTGTTTTAATAATTTTTATTTGCTTGAATTTTTCCAGAAGTTTTAGAAGACTGAAAATATACACATTATTACATTATTGTTTGGACTATATTATTCTCAGCCTATTTTTAAGTGTGTAAGTGGGTAGCGTAGAGAGAGAGGGAGATGGAGAGGGGGAAGGGAGGGCGTGAGAGAAAAGGAGAGAGAGAATGGACATGAGAACGCAACACTGTGCATTCAGAAGTTAGAAAAGTTTGTCAGTGTACAACCTCACGTCCTCCTTATTAGAGATATATATCATTTGTATACTCCTATGTAATAACAACTGCCTGGCCCACTAACGTCTGAGAACTTTTGATGGGAGATGTCATTCTGTAAATATGTTTCTCATGTTGGTTAATGAATAAAACACTGTTGGCCAATAGAAAGCAAGATAGATGGGACTAGGAGACGAGGAGAGAAGAAGTAGTAGGTAGGAGAGTCAAGATGGTGGATTGAGAGAGAAAAACACCATCCCCTATCTCCCATAAGATAAGACCACATGAAAGTACTTAGAGTAATAGAAATGGGTTAATATTTAAGACAGATCTTGCCGATAAGATACAAGTAACTAGGCAACAGCATTATATCAAATACAGAGTCTCTGTGTATTATTTGGGGCTGGTACTGCAATGGGCCCATGCCTGCAGGGAAAAACCCATTCTTAACATATTTTCTTGTCTCTCTCTTCCATGCCACTACAGGAGTGCTCAGATTATAGGCCTGTGATGCCGTGCTTGCCTTTTATATGCTTTCCTATATTCACACCTAGGTACTCAGGTTATGAAGAAGCATGTTACCCTCTGAGCTAGATCCTCAACCCTTAGCATATTTTTTAAAAGAGTTTAATGTGCAACAGGTTGTAGCATAATGGCAGAGTGCTTACCCATCATGAACAATGCATTGTGTTTGTTGTCTAACACTACCAAAGATGAAAACAAATACATGATTTAGACTAATTATAATATAACTTTGTTGTTAAGAATGTCTGAAAGGAAAATAAAAGAGATTTCATAAGTGGACTGAGAGTTGGGAGGATGGGAACATGATTTATCAGGTTGAGGGGACAGGACAATTGGGGTTGTAATAGGAGATGTCATTCTGTAAATATGTTTCTCTTATTAGTTAATGAATAAAGCACTGATAGCCAATAGGAAAGCAAAATAGGCAGGACTAGGAGACAAGGAGGAGAGAGGAAGAAGTAGGGAGGACAGTCAAGAAGTAGAGACCTGAGAGAGCTGAATGCCGGCCACTCTCTCAGGTAAGATAAGACCATATGGAAGTAATTAGATTAATAGAAATGGGTTAATATTTAGACAGAAGTAGCTGATAAGAGACTAGTAACAGGACAACAGAATTATATCTAATACAGCATCTCTGTGTATTATTTGGGACTGGCGTGGCAAGGGACCAGGCTGGCAGGGGAAAACATGCCCTTAACAGGGGTGGAGCTGGGGAATAAACCAAAAACAGAAGCGTAAGGACCTGAGTTAAAAACCACTAGCAGCTTTTTGTTTATTCTAAAAAGGCAGGTATGGCACCATGTCTGTGAGAAACAGAGACAGGTGGAACCCAGAATCTCACTATCCTGCATTATGTCCAAGACAATGAGACCCAGGTTTCAGTGAATGACAGTATCTCAAAAAATAAGTAATTGAGAAAGACATCCCAATGTCATCCTCTGTCTTTCACATAAATGAGTACATGTACATACACATCCAAACATATTACATTCATGTAGATACACCCTCTATTAAGGAAAGGGTCATTCCTAGATAATTCAGGTTGGTACTGCAAATCTACCCAAGTACATTTTTGGTCGAGAGATTTGAGACTTGAAGGAAGAAACTACTTCTCCCAGTACATGGGAAAATATCAGCTGTTTCCTAAATGCCTAAACTTATACCCAAGTATAAACATAGCTCACACCACATAAACAAAGCTTATTTTTCCAACTGATGAAAACATTTACTAAAAAAAATGCACACTTGATTTAAAATGCAAAGAATAAGTTGATGGTAGGGAGCCTAATCCCAAAAGATACATTTCCCATGTCAGGGAAATCATGGAAGAGGCAATGTAAATTTTAAAAGCCAGAGGTCCAAGACACCTATTGATAGGTGTTCCTTGTAAACAACAGAAAAATGTACCAATGAACTATCAAAAGTATGACCACTAAATATGACAAGTATAATGATAATTATAGTTGATATGCCAGGGGAAATTCTACACAGCCCTACCTCAGATTAAGAGCTATATACAGGGCAGTGACTACTGTTAGAATGAGAATCATTTGGCCAGAGTGATGAACTCACACATAAGGTGACCAAATCCAAGTGTTCATCTCTGGACACATACACAGAGGAATAAAGCCCAAGGGACTCAAAAGGTTTTATATACACACATACATATATATACAACAATGATAAAAATTATACAAAATTGGGGAGATGAGGAAAACTTTGGAGGGAGAAAAGGAAGATCGAGAGTTCTTTTAAGAAATTTTCAAAAATAAAACTATTATAAAACAAACTCAATTATTTGAAATTTATAGGTCATATCAGTACAGCAGCATTTTTTGAAGTCCTCAGAATGAAAGCAGTGACAACAACAAACAACCTAATGAGAATACTTATAAACAAAAAGATACCATAACTATTGCAGAGGTGAGTGTGAATACAAAGAGTATGGTGATAGGGTGGATGGACATGTGATAGCATGTGGTCATGGCATATTAGGAGCAAATGACAATAAGTATTTCCATGAATACATGAGCTTAAGTGTCCAGAATTGAAAAAAGCTATATGACAATGAGACTTTCTTTAAACTGAAATCAATGCCAAAATAAACAATTTATTTCAGAATTAACTGTCTCTTATATAACTGATATTATATTTTACACAAATTAATCATAATTTTACATTTACCAAAAAGTACCTCTTATATCATGTTAAAATACATTTCATTCTTTTCTTAAACATGCGGTTTTCACATAGGTGTTCAATGGACATGAAACTCAATATTACATAATTTGAGTCAGCCTCAGGCAAAATATAAATATGTAGTTTTAAAATCTTGCTTGAAATTAAGAAATGTACTAGTTGTTTTGGGATCCTGTGTAATTTATCATTTCAATGACTAAGGAGAGATTAATTTACAGCTTTTCGAGCACATCTGAAAATGAAAATTTAACATTTACATAGAACACAGATTAACTGCTCCTCTACAACTTTGCAAATGAGTATTGTTAAGAAACACATATACATATGCATATTTATATGTGTTTAGAAATATGTATTCCTGTGAGCACACACACACACACACATATACATACATACATACATACATACATACATACGTATATATATAAACATATTAATCTTAAAAACTGTATCATTCCATGTGGGAGTATTAAATAAAATAAATTTAGAAGTTGAACTGGGATATTCAAAAGAAAGAAACCTTGTTTTCCAGATGTAGACACTGAGTAAACAGATCCAGATCAAGAAGATTTTGTGGAAAAGTATGAACAGATGAGAGCTTGGACAATAAGGACATGTGGCATAATCCTTGGCAAGAGTGAAACAATGATGAGAAATTGGAAAAAAATGTGGGTAGAAGGCAAATAATGGTAAGAATGACAATAAAGTGGTGGACCCAAAGGTAAACATTTTGTAGACTTTTTATAAGGCAGATTTTTGTTAACAAAATGAATATTTGCACTGGGACAATGATATCGACTACAGAAGAAATGCAAGAAAAAATTATGAGGAAAGGATTTCAGCACAGTCACATTGTGAAGGCTATACTGCTGATTTAATTTTATAGATTTCCAATTTAG